TATTAACTCACTATTTATATCTATGTTTTCTGATAGTAACATTGCAAAAAAGTTTCAGCTAGGTTGAACAAAGTGTGGATATGTTACAAAATTTGGCATTGCACCATATTTTCTTGATTTGTTATATAAAGAAATATTGTTATCACCGGTTTTTGTAATATCTTTTGATGAGATATTAAGTCGTAGCATACAAATGTATGCTACGACTTAATATCTCATCAAAAGATATTACAAAAACCGGTGATAACAATATTTCTTTATATAACAAATCAAGAAAATATGGTGCAATGCCAAATTTTGTAACATATCCACACTTTACGTAGGTCAAATGGATATTATTGTTCGATTCTGGAACCATGAATCAAATCAAGTTTTTACAAGATATCTTGACTCACAATTTTTAGGTGCAAATTCAAAGCAGTTATTAAAATCTTTTAATGAAGGTGTATCTCAACTTAACATAATAAAAACGATTCAGATATCTTCAGATGGACCTAATGTCAATTTAAAATTTTTAAGACTGGTAAAAGAAGATCGCAAACTTAATGAGTATCCAGCATTATTAGATATTGGCACGTGTGGTCTCCACACAGTTCATGGAAGCCTAAAAACATCAGTTAATAACTCTGAATGGAAACTTGGGGAAAAATTAAAAGCGATGTGGAAGTTTCTGAATGAATGCCCTTCACGCAGAGAAATCTATGAAAATGTAACTGAGAACAAAATTTACCTTTAACCTTATTGTGGCCATCGTTGGTGTGAGAATCAAAACTGTTGTGAACGAGCAGCAAATATTTTTCCTGGGTATTAGAAGTTTATTGAACACTTACAAAGCTTACCAAAATCAAAGCAACCTCATGGAAAGTGGTTTGATATTTTAAAAGATACAATAAAAGATTCGATGTTTATTGCTAAATTAAAGTTTGTTGAACTTATAGCTGAAAAGTTAAATCTATTCCTAAAGGGTTTTCAAAGTGATAAACCAATGGTCCCATTTATATTCGATGTTTTAAAAAACATTTTAGTTAGCATTCTAAGTATGTTTTTATTAAATGATGTAATGGAAAGATCTGATACAATTAAAAAAATAATGAAGCTAAATCTCACAGATCCAATCTTATACAAAAGAGAAGATACAATTGATATTGGTCTGTCTGCCAATATGGAAGTTCAAAAATACAAAAGATTATCAACATCAAAAGGAAGAATAATTTCAAAATTTTACAAAGATGTTTGTATATTTTTATCTTCACTTGGAACTCACATGTTAGAAAAATCTCCCATAAAATATCTTCCTGTCAGGTGTTCGTCTTGTCTGGATCCAATTCAATTAGCAGATAGCAGAGAAGTAGAGTGTAATAAGTTAAAGTTTTCTAAATTATTGCTACAACTATAGCTTCTGGATATTTAAAATCAAAAATTGGGGACAAAGCAAATGAAGAATATTTTCAATTTATAATAACATTGTTCGTAAACATGATACAGAGTTTTTGTCATTCAAAAAATATGATGATAGGTTGGATATTTTTCTTGCTCAGCATATACCTGTAAAAGGAGATACATCTCTTTGAGATGTCTGCATAATTTTATTTTGCTTGTCTCATGGCCAGGCTGCTATTGAACGCGGGTTCAAAGTAAATAAGAACTATCTAGTTGAAAATTTAGGTGAAGATTCTCTAGTTGCATTAAGAATAGTTCATGATCACATGTAATCAAAGCAACAAAATGCTGCAGATATTCCAATTACAAGAGAAATGATAAAATTAGTCAAATCATCTAGAATGCGATACGATGTTGTCTTAGAAAGTGCAAAAAAAGTTAAAGAGTTATCAACTGTAAGTTTAAAAAGAAAAGCTGTTTCTGCTGAAATTGATGACATTGTTCGAAGGAAGAAGCTACTTCAAGCATCAGGTGACGATTTAATAAAGGAGGCAGATAGTTATGCATTGAAAGCAGAGGAAAAAAAAGATTTGAGTTTTATAATCACTTCAAATGATTTAAGAATCTTATCAAAAGATAAATTTTTAAAATTGCAAGAGCTTGATAGTTTAGAAAAAGCTTTATGTTTAAAAAGAGATTCAATCATTGTTTGAGTTTCATTTATCTATTTTGTAAATATTTTTTTGTTTAATTTAGTTCCATTAAAGAGTATGATTGTTTAACTATTATATATATATATTTATATTATATATTAGTTTACATTCTTCTTTCTATTTTATACTGACTTTCAAAAAGAAAAATTTTATAAAGTTATTATATGTTATTAAAATTACTATTACTTTTCGTCAATTTAAAAAATTTATTAGTCGATTTAGTTGAAATATTCTATGAATATTGTTCAATGAAAATGAAAAATTTAATGAAAATATAATTGATAATATTGATTTAATAGGTTACAAAATGTCCTGAACAATTTAAAAAAAGTCCTGGAATGTCCTGGAAATGTCCTGGAATTTTACTTTTAAAATTTTATGGCCACCATGAGCGAGGCTTGAGTTGGAATTGTCAAGAGGAAATAAAGATTCTATGGCAGCCTAAATCCAAGAAGTTATGGAAGGAGCACATTAGTCAGCAGGAAGATGAAAGGTTTCTATATAAGAGCCATCGCAAAGAAAATTATGGAAAGAGTCCCAGTCAGCTTAAAGGTAGTTATAATAAGTACAATGATAAGGGAATTCTGATGATGAAGAAGAATGAAATAATAGTTTTAGATCAAACCATGATCAGAAGCACCTTAGGGTAAATGTGGAGAAACTGAGCACTGACTTGGATCAGAATCAAGACATGTCCAAAACTAAGTGCAATTAGGCCTGCTCTATCTGCCAAGCCTAACTTCTCTCTCATTGTTGTAAATTTGCATTTCTTTTTCTTTTTTACAAACACTAATTAAAAGTTTTTTGGATGACCTTGATAAAAACTTTAGACAAAAACATTCTACAATTTAATTTGTGCCCTGAGAAATTTAGATTTTTTTTTTTAAACATCTTCGCTTCCAACAAGGCTGCAAGCGACCACTTTTTAGAGTTGGAAGTTAAGATTGTAGAGCAAGATAAGGATTGACAGACGACTTAAAAGATTGCAAATTATATGAATCAGGAAAGCAAGATGAAAGAAGCGAATTCTAAAGAAGTGACGTTTGAAGAAAAAAACTAGAGAATAAGAGTTTTTTGGAGCACTTAGAAACAGTCACATAAAAAGGATGAGACTTTCTTGAATGATGAGTAACACAAGAAAGAATTTTAGTAGATAGCACAAGAGATGCTAGCTCATTAGAGCGGTGCCCATTATAGTATTTATAGAAAAGAGGAAGAGAAGCAACATTACGGCGATGTGATAATGGTTGAAGGTTGACTGCAAGAGTAGATCCAATTATGTTTATAATGCATTTTTGCACCTTGTCTAAAAGGTGCAAAAAGATGATGTTTTTTTTAATTTAGATATGATATTTTTCTAAATTAGGCTTTAAGCTTTGGTTTTAATTTTTTAAGTTAATAACCAATAAATGATACTTTAATTTGTGCTGTTCCTTTGAAATTAAGGATTGTTATTACTTTTTAATATTTCATATTTATTATATCAATCTAGGTTGAATGTCTGTCATTTTAAGGTTTCTCTATTTTTTTATTTTATCTTATTTTTTATTGCAGTAAGATTAAATGCCTCTTAATGCCTTTGAATTGTGTAGTTTGTTATAAAATTTGTCTAATCTTTAAAACACAGTTCAGCTACTTTTATTACCTCATTACAATCTTTGAAGATATTTTCTCTATTTCATGCACAAACTATGCAATATATTTTATAAAATATGTAATCCAATAACTTCTTTAATGTAACTTATTACCATTTTTCTAACTATAGTAACTAAGTAACATACTTTTGTAACTATAGTTGTTATGTAACATCTGATAATCTAAAAGCATGAAATTCAGAGTTATGTTTCAAACTAATTCAATTGCAATTTTTTAATTACTTTTTCGATGAGTGTTTGCTCTATATTATATTACAAAACTATTCATAACAGATCAATAATTTAAATTCAAAATTAAAAAAAGAACTGTCAGATGTTATAGTTAACACTGGAACATTAAAAAACTTCAAAACAGTGTCTTTTCAACTAATATCATTTAGTATTAATGTAATAGGTATTTACATTGACCCAAATGTATTAGTTATGTGAATAATAAGGTTTCATGATCTTCATACTCCTAGAACTATCTTTCATTTTATTTTTTTAAAGATCTTATGTATATTGTGATGCTGTAAGATATTAATTAATTTATTTCTGTTATGAGCTCACATAAGTACATCAATAAATCCATCTGATTTTATCCCATAATGGCCATTTTAACAGAGAAGATTTGCTGGCCTAATTAATCAAATACAATGAAACATAACTGTAGTCACATGTTGCTTTATGAAAGTGGTAGAAGTTTTTAGATATTATTGATTGATTGAAAAGTAATTATCAATTATGAGAAATTCATAGAGGTGTTTATAATAGCTAACCAATTAAAAAACATTTTATATGTTGGATATGATGTATTTACTAATTCTGCCAATCTTGTTCTTTGCAGGGTTATTTAAATGGCTGGGTTGTTTCTAAATCTATCTTTGTGGTCTTTTGCGCAATAAAGCAGTTAAATAATCTATAAAATGAAGTGAGCAAGAAAAATCCTTTAATGTGTGAGTTTGAGATCAACTTCTTTACATTAACGAGAAATATTTCTTACTGTACAATATATTGATATTGAGATATTTAAAATTTATGTGTTGGTTATGGAGGTGCTGCACAGTTTAGAGATAATGTTTTTTTGTTTTTGCATTGGATAAAAAAAATGTTTTTTAAAATTTTGAATTCATTATATCAAGTTAAAAAAATTTACAAAATTAAAGATTTTAATTGTATTTTAAATTGATTTTATTGTATGAAAGTTTTTATAATTTTTCTTACAATGAATTTCAAAATTTGTTTCAGTTTTTTAATTTTATTCAAATTTTAGAATTGGATGCTTATTCAGCTGTAGTAACAGCTTTTAGAGCACAAGGAGATGTTAATAGGTATATTTTATAATTAATGTTGCTAAGTAACAACTATATCTAACAACTTTTTCATACAACCCTACACTAAACTTAAAAAAAAAGCTAATTTTTGTTTAAATGTAAGCAAGAGCACTGTGAATATACTCCTGCATCTCATTAATTGTAAGATACTGAAATAGGTATTGTAAGATACTGAAATAGGTAAAGAAAGCAACTGCATGAACAACTGTACTTAAGGAATAAATGGTTACTCATGGAATATCTTGAGTTATCTTCTTTATCACCAGGACTAAAGCCAATAGTCAAACGCATTAAAGTTTATATACAAAGCATTAAAGTTAGTTGTGATAAAAAAAAGGTTACCCATGGAATAAAGCCATAGTCATACATAAAGCATTAAAGTTATTCATGATTTAAAAAAAAAAAACTTTTTTTATCCGTCAAATCATGAAAACTATTGTTCCATTTTTTAACAATTTTTTAAATTTTTTAATGAGTTTATTAAAAGATTTCAACCACACTCAGATATAAAATTATTTTATTTACAATATTTTAGATCAAAAAAATGTGTTTTAACAGACTTAGCAAATCATTTAAGGTTGGTTATTTTATATTGTTTTAAATTTATTTTATATTTTATATTTGTTTTAAATATTGCTTGAAAATTTAAAATTTTTTTTCAAAAAACCATTTTTTTAAAATTTATTTAGTATTTCCACTGAGCGACACAGAGCTGAAGTTCGTCGTGTGGTTAATGATGAGCGACTAAATGCTGTTGCGGAGTGGTATAATATTTTTACTTTTTTACTAAATTTTTATTTTTTGTCTTTCAGGCAACAAATTAAATTTTGAAAATTTCCTAACAAATGCTTGTTAAAACAATTAAAAACAGTTATAAATAATAGTTAACTAACAATTTAAAAGTTTTTAAATTAAAATAATCATCTAAACTAAATACTAGTTAAGTACATATATATTTTTATTTTATAATTATTTATACTTATTTATAAGATTGTCAACCTCTTCTGAAAAAATACAAAAAAATCCTTCTATTTAAGCATTGTATAATGTTTATGAGTATATTTATAAGTGTTTTAAAAATTTTGTCTATTTTTGCATTTTAAACAAACACGGAGGTTCCTCTTCCTCCTAGTGAAGATGGTTGCCATTCAAAAAAATGCCAAAAAATTATTCGATAAAATTTGAATTTTGTTAATGAATTGCTATTTAATTTAAGAATACACAAAAAAAATTTTTACGCCCCTTTTTTTGCATGTATAAAAAAATATATATGTTAATGACTTGATTTGTATTTATTTTATTTTAAAATTTTATGTCTTGTGATCTTTTATAGTATGCAAGGTAGTGGTACTTCTACTGAGTGGATGTATGAAGGGCGTCGATTGATTTCACTCATGCCTCGACTTGTTCCTCAAACAATATTTACAGCAAAAGCTACAGTTGCAGCAAATCAAGCAACAGAAGCAAACCTGAAACTTCCTTTAAAAACAGGTAAAGATTTTTTACAATTGAAATTTTTTTACATATCAATAAAAAATATGCTGGAATTAATAGCTAAATCAGTAAAAGAAAGAAATAGAAACTAATTTTAAAAAAATAAGGCTTTCTTCAGCTTTTTTGATGAGAAATATTACTAACTTTAAAAAGATTTTAAATTGAAAAAAATCTTTTCATTTGTATTTTTTTGTTTTAACTATTACTAATTGTTTTGATTATTTATGAAATAATCCTAAATTAAAATTGAGTTTAAAAAGAAGTTAAACTTCATATACTATCTATGTTCTCAACATATGCTGAAGATCATCTACAGTAGAGTAGATGATCCTGATAAGAAAGAACACATTAACTCAATTTTCAAGAAAATTTTTTTGAGAGTAATTCTATTCATTACTATTTTCTTGACCTGGTGTTTAAGTAAGAACACTGTATATGATCTATAAGTATCTATGTTCTATCTTACCACTGCAGTATAACATATTTACTGACTTTTTTTATATAATATATACATTTGCTGACTTTTTTTTTTTTCCATACAGTTTTATCAAAAAAAAAGAAAATACTGTTGCAACCCAAACCTTTAGTCATTGAGGCAGCATTCCTTTGCATTTTCTCCCTAGATAGCCAGTTGATGTATTTACTGATTTCCTTGTATAAAGTCACATTGCTTAGCTAAATATACAAAATTATTTATATTTATACTACATAAGTAAGCATATGTGTGTGTATATATGTGTGTGTGTGTGTGTGTTTATATATATATATATATATATATATATATATATATATATATATATATATATATATATATATATATATATATATATATATATATATATATATATACATTTATTAAAATCTAGTTTTATATAAATTTATGTAAATAATTTCATAGTGTTTCATTAAACAAATTGTTTAAAGTTTTAAAATTTATTTTTTAAAATTTGTTTCATTAAATGCTAAGAAGACAAATGTTTAAAACAATATAAAGTATTAAATATTCAGTTTAATTTGTATCTGTAAATAAGAGTTAATAACATTATTATTAACTAATTAATATTAGCGGTTTTTGAAATCATTTTAATGAGCAAGAGATTTAAAGAGTGCGAAAGTTTTTCTTCTCTAACAGAGAATTATTTCATTATTATTCAAAATTATCATATGTAATTAAGAACTTAATCTCAAATGTATTTTTTTTTCCATTAAATCTTTTCTATTATTTTTCGAGTGGCTTTTCCCTAGGTACCGTCGCCCAAATTTTTTTCCTAAAATAGGCCCTGCATATATATATATATACATATATATATATATATATATATATATATATATATTATATATATATATATATATATATATATCTGTGTGTGTATGTATGTATATGTATGTATATGCTCTATAAGGTAAAGTAAGATAAGATTGAGACATCTTTAAAAAATATTTTTTAAACTGTGACAAAATAAGTTTCGTATGCAATATTTCTATGTGTTTACTGATGATATTGCTGCCATTAACTGATGAAGCATTTATAATATTATTGATAAATAATTAATTTTGTTTTTGGGGTTCCACTGTCAATGTCACCCGTATATGGGGTAAAAATGACATTATTATGTTTTATATGCTGTAAATGTTAAAGTTACATCATGAGGGGTAACATTTTCATTGGAATTTTGACAAACAATATAGAGGAAACATTTTTGATATCTATTAGCACCAACCTACATTTTCGTTTTAAAAATAAGTTTTAAAAAGTTATAAAATTGCAATGAAAATGTATTGTTTTTTTGAAAAATATCAATTAGCTCTAATTCTAATAATGTTAAAATATAAAAAAGTTTTTTGATTAAAATTTTTTAGATGGCAATTGATGTATTGATTAAGTTTTAAATTTAGGGTTTGCTTTTTTTAATTCCATTTCATGTAATTGTGAAAGACTCATGGGATGTAAGACATTCCGCCAACTTTTGCTTGATTCTTAGCCCAGGAGATGATTGAAGCATTTCTGTCAATGTCACCCCAAAACTGAAACATTCGTTTAAAAAAAAAATTATCTTCGCTTCCAACAAGGCTGCAAGCAACTACTAATTAGAGTTGGAAGTTACTGAAAGTTAAAAGGAAGTTACTGAAAGTTACTGAAAGAGAAAAGATGAAGATTGTAAAGCAAGATAAGGATTGACAGATGACTTAAAAGATTGCAAATTATATGAATCAAAAAAGCAAGATAAAGGAAGCGAATTCCAAAGAACTGATGTTCTAGGAATAAAACTAGAGGAATAAGAGTTTTTAGAGTACTTAGAAACAATCACAGAAAAAAGATGAGACTTTCTTGAATGATGAGTAACAAAAGAATGAATTTTAGTAGATGGCACAAGAGACGCTAGCTCTTTAGAGCAGTGCCCATTATAGTATTTGTAGAAAAGAGAAAAAGAAGCGACATTACGACGATGTGATTATGGTTGAAGGTTGGCTGCAAGAGCAGATCCAACTATGTTTTACAATGCGTTTTTGCACCTTGTCTTAAAGAGAAAGGGCATCATTAGAAGATCTGCCCCAGATATAGCAACAGTATTCCATACAAGACCGGATTTGAGATTTATAGAGATAGAGAATAGAATCCGGAGTAAAAAAGTGTTGAGCTTGATAAAGAAATGCAACTTTAGCAGATGCTAATTTTGCAATGGGTTTGATATATGGTTTCCAAGAAAGATCATAAGTACGAGTTAATCTTAGAAGATTAAAGGTAAATGATTCATTGAGTACATTACCGCTCATAAATATAGAAAGCTTTTATTCCTGCATGGATCCTGGAGGTTACATAGGAGAGAGAAAAGATATCAGCCCAAGGACTGTCACGAACAAAAACATCAAAAGAATCCCAGTCAGCTTTAGAGTAGTATTAAGTTGTACAATGATAGAATTAGTCTGAATAAAAAGTATGAAATGAAAAATTAATAGAGATCAGAGACCACCTAAAGAAAAAGAAAAAAGAGAAACTGAACACAAACTAGGATCAGAAACAAGACACAAATCAAGAAGTGAAGGTTAATGATTAAATTTCTCAGGAAAATGAGTCACAAAGTTAACTATCTGAATAAGAGATTGAGAAATGCATAAGTTAAAGGCAGGGTCAGTGGTGTTAGAGCCAAGCCATTCAGTCTGATGAGTATTAAAGTCACCAATAACAATATTATTGGCAGAGGGGTAAAGAAAAAGGTCATGGTCAATTTTATCAGAAATTATAAACACTAAAAAAGTGCAGTGATTGGAGAAGGAGAATGATAAAGAACAAAGAAAAAGGTGATATAGAGATGCTAAACTGAAGTACATAAAAGAATGCTCAAAGAATGAAGTACAAAAAATGTAAGCAAACCTAATTTCTTGACAAATACGGGAATTGATGCATAAGTACACACCCAAGGCAAGCATGTGACAATTGAAGTCTTTGCAAATTAAAAGAGAATACCCATCAATACTGAGATCCAAAGAGAGAACAGCCAAATTCATATTTAGTCACACAAAGAGCATGCAAATCTGTTGAATTTTGCAAAAGTTAAAATTTAACTAATGGAAGGTTACTTTGCAGTCCATGAATCTTTCTGAAAGATGTTGAAACAGTTTCGTGGTGGGGATGGTTTTTTTATATTTAATATTTTGGTTTACTTTGGACATGATTTAAGTTCAAAGAGAACTTGACTCATTCTTAGATTGAGCACGACCTCCTAAGCATTCCAAGCATTATGTCACTTTGAAATATGCACCAAAAGCATTAACAGAGACACCATTTACCAATTCACCAGCTACCACAGAGTTTGGGAAACCTGACTAATAACTGGCCTCAGAACCATAAAACTGAGTTTTAGAGCTTTACCCTCATTAGGAGATAACAGGAAGAGTTACATTGCTACTATTAAGGAGGTACAAGTTAAAATCTATGAATATTGTCATCATCCTAAACAGGAAACAATGTTACACAGGTTTACATCTATGCTAGCCTAATAGGTGAAAATAGCAGAATTATTCTGCTTACCTTGTATATTTTTTTTCTGCTTACCCCTTAAGTGTTTGCCGATAAGGTTATCTAAAAGACAGTAGCTGAATGTAATTAACATCTACCTAAGATGAGTATTTTTATCAAGACACCGTCTCTAGCCTTTACTCAATCAAGAGCCCTAATGGATGAGATTTTTGAGTCAGAGTTTGTTTCTCCTTGCCTTCGCCAAAAAAAAAAAAAACCATACAAGGCAGCAGGTCATGAGACAGATAGTACTGGGTTGCATGACACCAGTAGAAGGTTGATTCACAACCTGACCTGAACTGGAGTAGTTAAAACTTGCTGAAAGCAATACTTTAAAACATTGACAGGCATATTTTGGAAGTGCATAAGGAAAAACATTACATCTAACAAAATACTAGAGATTAAGGTGAGTGTAGGTTTTATAGATAAGGTCACTATTTTTTTTTAAGGTATAAAATTATTTGTTTATTTTCTTGACATTTAACACTATCTATTTCTAAAAGTCCATCACTATAAATAAATGTTTTGTCTATTGCTTATATTAAAAAGTCACAAGTAATAATTTGAAAACTTTGGATATTCTAAGGATAAACACAGAGCAATAGTTAATATTTTATAGCAATTTTATGTAAAATTAAATATTAAAAAAAAAAAAAAGATTGATATATGCTTGTGTTAATTAAAATGTGGTATTAATTATTGTGTTTTTTGAACAATGCTAAATGTTATTTAAACTTTAATTTATACTTTGTACATATTTTTGATGTTTACAATGAATTTCATTTCTAGTAAAATATAAAAAAAAAGGTGAACACTTTATAGGTTTAGACGATAGATAATTCCAGAGAAAATGTAAAATTTGCTTATTGAATAATTTATAATAATAGTCACACTTTAATTTAAAATCAGGTTGAACCTAAGCATTACATTTATTATTCATACTAATCATTTAAAATCAAACCTAAGCATTACATTGTTA